CATCCTTCTCTATCTGCCCTTCTAACGCTCAATCTAGTCATTGGTTACGAGGGGCAGGCGGCAGGCGGGATTGCAACCCGTAGGTCCGCGTCAAGACTCTGTGGGGAGTCCACCCACCGATTGCGGGAGCTCTGCCGGAACTCAGGAGGAGTTCTGGAGGCAGGGAATCGTCAGGTATACTATCTTTCATCTATATGACCCACTATCACCCATGTTTGCCTATCCCCCTGCAGTATGACTATTGTATGCATGTGATTGTCCCTATGATTATTGTTTTCTCTTGAGGACCAATCAGACTAACTGGAAAGAATGTGTGAGAGTGAAGCCTAAGTTTCTGCTTTGTTCTGATTGAAAGCAGACTAAGGATGAACTGGGGGAAGGTGGGAGGAAGGTAGACTGCATGCGTTTTGACCGGGTCAACCAAAACCTGAGCATTGTTTCTACTGTGAATGGCTCAGGGCTATGTTTATTTGGCTGTTTTCTAAGGGACCATGCATTGTTTCTACCGTGAATGGTCTGGTCGCTATGTTTATTTGATTGTTGTCTGGGGAACCAGGCATTGTTTCTACTATGAATGGTCTCGCTCGCTACCTTAGTTAACTCTGAGGGTTTATCTGATTGAAGAGGTTTAAATTCTTGTTTATTCTGAGGAGGGATTTTTGGTCTAAGGCTAAGCATTGTTTCCATGGTGAATGGTTTAGCCTGAAAACCACGCACATAATTTAAACTAAGTATAAAGGAAAGTATTTTATGTATATTTGCATGTGAAATGACAGCTGGGCATTGTTTCAACTGTGAATGGTCCAGCATTAAGCCATATCATTAAGAAGAGAGAAGRGAAAATWMAGWGTATAAATGRAAATAGTTTGGGGCAAGCTYAACATTGTTTCTACTGTGAATGGTTCAGTCCCCTACCCATATTTGTCTTTTCTTTTTAACAAAGTGAGAGAAATACTAAAACTTTGGATATTAAAYARCTCAGGRCGACTAGRCATTGTTTCCATGGCGAATGRCYTAGTCATTTGCCCAAAAGAAGAAAGAAGTAGTTKTGCAACCTGTTCGTRTATATCATAAAGACAAGTTGGRCATTGTTTCCATGGCGAATGGTCCAGCTCTATGTCTTATGTAAGATGGGTATAAGGATTTAAGAACTTGAAGATTCACGAACTATTTATATGGAATGAACTTGGGATGGTGAGAGTACTTGCATTCGTGGTTTGGTTTACATGAGAATGGATGGGATGACTAATTTGTCTGGATTTCAATTCTATAGGTAGTTGCTTTAGTTGCTCGCCACATACTAGAGTCATAGGAATTAGTGTCAATTCCTGTATTTTCTGTAATAATTTTTTTTTTTACTTAGGTCAATTCCTGCATTTTCTGAGATCTTTTCTTATATTTGGCTTTGTATAAATCTTGGCAAGCTACTTTTCCTACGGGAATCGCTGCCGAAATTTCTACAAATCCAAGAAGTTAGTCAATTTTTGACTTGTCAGAGTTCAACTTGTCTTTTTCATATATCTTACTCAGTATAAATCTGGAAAGTCTCATTTTCTACATGCCTAAATTTTTACTAATTCAGAGAGTTAGACAAAATTGGACTTTGAGAAATCAAAGTTATTCTCAAGTTTTGGACCTTGCTTTGTATAAATATTGGGAAAGCACTTTTCTAGAGGGAGTGCTGCCGGAATTTCTGCAAAACTGAGGAGCTAGTTAAATCTTATCTAAATTGAACTCAAGTTTGTCTTGTAAGTTCAAACCTGACTTAGTATAAATCTGGGAAGTTTCCCTTTGTAAAGGGAGTGCTGCCCAAATTTTTACTAAAACAGGGAGTTAGACAAGTTTTGACTTTCTAAGAGTTAGAGATTATTTTTCTGCTGTATATCTGACTTAGTATAAATCTGGAAAGTMTCMTTTTCTAGAGGGGGTGCTGCCCAAATTTCTACTAATTCAGGGATTTATACAAGATTTGGCTTTCCAGAGTTAGAAATTATTTATATTTTTTCAGATTTAGACTTATATAAATTCTGGAAAGGYASTTTTCCAGCGGGAAGCGYTGYCGAAATTTTCTTAGTTTAGAGGAGTTAGATTATATTTCGACAGGTGACGATTCTTGCAATCCACCCTGAATAAGAGAGGTTCTGYCATTAGTCTACTTCTGTYTTGGGCACTGGCTTAGAGTTAGGYTTGGACTTAGTTGGCAGGTAGCTTGAGTGAGAATGAATTATGRAGTTGTAGTCTCCATACACTTATGATCTTAGCTTGAGSATTGGTCTTCCGTGTGTTACAGGCCTCTTTGATCATTTGATTCAAGTTYAGGGCTAGATCCAGCTTGATCCTTTTGAGGATCACTTTCTGTTATCACTRATAACAGGTCGGTTCCCGATTCRTCGGCCTACGACTCAATTTCAACTCTCCCTCCACACTCAACCTAAAAGGCTTTAGCCCTTGTGATTTCTTTGTTTTATTAAAGTTTCACCCGGACTTTTATTGAATGACCATTTAACAAAGGTGCTGAGTATTTAATTAAGGTTGGTTGGACAGGAGGTTTTKGGGCTTGCATSGCTAAAGCAAAGGGTATRAATGTCGAAGGTGGTTGGGGTTGACTCCGTGTAGTATGTGGGYTGTTGCTTTGGTTTGTTGATGTRATGGCAGGTATGTGCTKTGAATCAGATTCTGRATTTGGTTGCCTACGATCACACATRTACGTATTATTGTGAGAGACCCKAGTGAGACCATGAAAAGTGATCGTCACATACTTAACCCTTATACATGTATACATGGGTATACTTGGGATGAATGTTTGCATGGGTTGAAGAGTCCCCATATTAAAGCCCTACTCAGAAGCTGAGGCTAAGGGGTCCTTGGGGAAGCCTCTCCCTCTATTTTTGTTTCTTGCTTTTTGATGATTTTTCTTAGTCGGACGTTTGGTCCTGGGCCGCGATTCGAGGTCCTTGTCCAGGACATCCCAAGCCCTAGGCTCTGCAGGGAAGGGGTTTTCCCTCGCGCAAAGTCTATTTGATTTGCCTACCAAGACACTCAGGCCAAGAGCCGGAGAAGCTACGGTGGCCGCACGGCTATTCCTTCAGCCGTGCAATGTCGTGAAGAGTTAGGCCCTCACGACACTTCGAGTCTGATACTCGAGTGTCATAAGCGGTGCTCGGATCCACGAGAGACAGCTTGATTATGGACACTGCATAGTACGCCATCGTCGCGACTGCATGCGTACGCCTGCATTGCGGGTTGCTATGAGGTAGACCCTCGGCTGCGCAACTTTATATTAAAATCCCGCGCGCGACGTTACCGCCCTGGTGTGTAAAAAGTTATGGGATTACAAAGGGACCGACACATATTGGCAAATGTTTGAGATTGTTATAGGCCGCCGACGCCGCACGAAAAAGGGAGGGTACCCCAGGGCTRTGATTTTGTTTACTAGGTAGAGAATCTTCGACCCATTCCTTATCTTTTGCTCTTTGGAGTTTTTATAGTTGGACGTTATAGTCSGTGGCCGCCGTGAAAGTCAAACCCCTTGATGTTCGACCGCCWCGACAGCTTAAAGCTGTCTACTCAACCCCTCTGCACAKGGTGCAGAAGAGGTTGTGGTTTTCAACCGCGCATGGCGGTTGTCCARCGTCGAGAGATTAACCCTCAAGGCGCGTGTCAGTCGACACTTGAGTGTCGAACGCGGCCCTCGCGATTAACAGGGACCGCRCAAGTATGGGTACCACATAGTACGCCTTCATTGCGACTGCTTGCGTACAATTGCATTGCGAGTCGATATGCGATAGCSCTGCGTCCGCGCGGTTTTATACYGAGTCTCGCGCGCGACRCCTATACGATTTCCGCATTGGAAAGTTATGGGTTGGATACCGAGGGGCTAGGAGCGTTGTCGCGTTGTTGTGTTGTGTCGTTTCGTATATGTGTTGTTTTGTGGGTATGTGTGTTCGTAAAGTGGAGTGCGCGTGGTGTGTGGGATGCGTCCTAGTCGACCAACGATGAACCGCGCTTGGGACCTCAGCCCCCCATGATGTCGGTTCGCGTGCAGGTCTGATAGAGGAGTATTACCGCGCGTACCCCCTATGCTACAGCGAACGAGAAACGCCCTCGGCTGGTCCACCTCTGCGATTGCAGCTGATTAGCTTTCGTACTGTGGNTTACCGCGCGTACCCCCTATGCTACAGCGAACGAGAAACGCCCTCGGCTGGTCCACCTCTGCGATTGCAGCTGATTAGCTTTCGTACTGTGGACTTGTAGCTCGGCGGGGATACGCCCACCGAAGGGAGGTGACAGCTCCCGTAAGGTGTAGGTAAGTCGTGCCTCGCGTAGACCCTATCCTATCGTAGGGTCTCGCGAGAGGTATGGCTGGCGCACTCGGCCGGAGCGGCTTAAGGAAGCTCCGTATATATTGCGACGAAGGATTTAAAACCAACTCCTGCGTGACGCGGCCGAGAGGGTCCCGCCCTGCCCCTGTGCGGTGCCGGATCGATGCGCTCGACAGGTGGCGCCGTTGCCGGGGATAACGGAAAGCCTACCGTTGTCCCTGGTGGAACGACATCCGGGTATGAGAAGTGAATGAGAAAAGACATAAAGGAAGGATGAGGAAGTGAGGGAAGATATTGAGCGATTGAGTATAGGTAAGGAAATTTTACCTACCTGAGTAAGGGAAGAAATGAAGGGTGAATCTGTAGTATTGGGAAAAGGTACGTAGTAAGAGTTAGGTAGGACGGATGGAATAGACCGGTCAAGGTATAATGTTGAATAAGGGGATGTGCTTGTTTTCTTTTGTCAGGGAACTTGAAAAGAAAAGGCTGTCAAGATGCCTGAGACTGGTGTGCATCAGTTGCTCCCAAGAAGGGCCTGACACTCGATGACCTCATCGCGGCCATCGACCGACATGAAAGGAACCCGAGCAACATCCCAAAGGTCGATACTTTCCATTTCTGTGGGGAGAGAGCCTCAGAATGGCTAGAGCGGGTGGAACAAGCTTTGGTCGGGCGGTCGGATGTTGTAAAGTTTCAACGCATCCTTCAGTATGTCCTCCACAACTACCATCAGGAGGTGAAAAAAGTCATAGATGCGGCTCAAGGTAGCTGGGAGAGGTTTAAGGAGGGGATGCATAGGAAGTACCGCTTGGGAGACGGGGTATTGACTACCGCAGATCTTGAGGCGATGAACAAAGAGGATTTTACGGCAATAGGGGCCTTTGTTCAAGAATTTAAGAAGAGAGCGCGGAAGGTTCATGGGATTTCGGAGGAAGCACAATGCGCCATCTTCCTAGGGCTACTCACGGCATCGGAGGCCGTCGAGTTGACGAGGCATGGAGGAGGTAGCACTAAGCTCACCTGGGCCACCATTGACAGAGGGGTGGAAGTTGGGTGTTTKGACCAGGTGGAGCAACGTCAGGTACGCCTGCAAAGGCAGAAGAGAAAGGAAAGAGATGCGACTGCCGGAAAGGAAAGAGACGCTCGCAAGGTGGGGCGCCCTCCTACGGACAGTGGCCCTGGCCGGTGATCAATGCAATTGTGTCATTGGGAAGCCCGCCGCCAGTAGCCGGACCGCAAACGAGTATGCCACCGCCCATCTACCCCGCAGCCCAGGCCCAGCCTGTGGCCCTGCCGCCGTCACCTGCTCCTAGTTCACAGGGCAGTGTGGCAGGAGGTGGGAACAAGGGGCAAGGCAATCAAGGCAACGGAGGGAGGGGTGGAGTAAGGGGGCGAGGCAGGAATGGCGGCGGAAGAGGGAGGCAATGGAATGGTCAAGGCCAGGGGTACCAAGGCCAGGGGAATCGAGGCCAGGGGTACCAAGGCCAAGGGAGTCAAGGCCAGGGGTACCAAGGCCAGGGGTATCAAGGCCAGGGGGATCAGGGAAGTCAGGGGTATGGAAGACCCCGTTTTGACTGGAGGACGGTCATCTGTCAACATTGTGACCAGCAAGGCCACACTATAAGGTTCTGTAATATAAGACGGAAAGACGAGAGAAGCGGACTGATTTCCTCCACTATAGATGGGAATATCTACGATCAGTTTAGGGAGACCATTGACAGAAGGTTTGGAGGAGTGAGGGTTGAAGCCCAACGAAGAGCGGCAGCTGGGCCGCCACCCCCTGCCATGTTCAGGCTATGGCAGGAAAAGGAGGAACCACCGATTGGGATAGAGGAAGTGGGGAGCGATGAGGGATTGGCTCAAGGGCTACGAGGAGGAAGTAAGACGGAAGAGTCCATAATCATCGAGTCAGATGACGAGGATGAGGAGGAAAGAATGGAGCCTCCGTCCGTCTTATTTGGGAAGATGGAGGACCTGCTGGATAAGATAGGGAGGTACCAACAGAAGTTGGTGGGCCTCTGTGAGGAAGTGAAGGGAAGGAGGTCTAGCATCCCCAAAGTGTTCCTCTATGACTCCGGCCCGGAGTCGACGCCTAGGCGACCCGGAGTAAATGTGGTGGGATCGTGCGCACAATCGGAAATGAGGGGGAGGCCCCTCACTCCGCAGGCCCGGCTGACACAGGCAGCGAGAACTAGGAATCAAGCCAAGGCCAGTGCCAGCCAAGAGCCTCTGAGGAGGGAACCCGAACCAGGGAGAAGGAAAGAGGTTGTAGAAGTAGAGGACAATGATGATGAACAGGAAGAGGACGAGAGGCTGTGCAGAGAAGAGGATCAGAGAACGGAGCAGCGGGCGAGGAAAAAGGGAACCAGGGGAGAGGCCGAGCCAGTCATACGTGACGAACCACCCAAAAAGAAGAAATACGTTGTTCGGTTGGAAGAGGGATTTGACGTAGAGAGAGTAATTGATATGCTGTTGGAAGGGCATAATGACCGGGTACGATCCTGCCCAAGGAGGCTGAGTGGACAGAGTCGGGGACGAAAATGGACTGGAAGTGTGTAACCTGCGGCACGGTGGATTTGGTGGTGAAGGGTTCCAAGTGTGCGACAATGGTTTACCCCGGGGCCGAAATGAACATCATTTGGGAGGCGGATGCAATCAGATTTGGGCTGGATATAGACCGTTCTGACTGAGGTATTCTGCATGGAGCCAGCTGTAAGGCCGTGTTTTGCGGGACAACCTCGAATGTGCTCATCGAGGTTGGAAAGGTGAAGGCCAGGGCATGCTTCTTCATAATGACGGACGTGGACAATGGAATCCTCCTGGGGAGGTCATTCCTAAGCAGGATAAAGACCGTGATGTTCAACAAACATGACGGGACTCTAATCCTTCTCTTATGCGATCCTGCCTGCGGGAATTACAAAATAATTACCTGCAGGAACACCGGGCCAAGGAGTATAAGGAACCAGCCCAATCCAGGATCATTCACAATCGAGGAGTCAGAAGGGGAGCGCAGGAGGATCCGGGCAGAGTCTGAAGCAGGAAAGAGGGTGGAAGCATTTTCCCTCAGCCTGTCGGATGTTAGGAAGGCCATGAACCTGGTGGTTGCGCATGAGATGGCAGATCCGGATGCCATCCAGGCCTTGAGGGAGCAAGTTCGGAATGCCCTTAGGCAGGAAGGTTGGAGTTGGTATATCGGCTCCCAGGCAGCGAAGGGCACCCCGCATCAGCGCAAACACAATCCGTGAGTCGGCCTTTTTTAGGGGACGGCTCAAGCAGGGTTCCCAAAGGCGGTACAAGACGGTAGACAAGAAGTGCCGCCCTGTTCCCATCCTCGTTACAGAAGACGAGGAAGCATATTACGAGAGGGAACGAGAGTTGATACGGCGAATGATGGAAAGTGCTTTAGCAGGGCCTTGTCGTATCAACGAAGGGAACGAGAAGGATTTGATCATAGGGGAGTCTGACTTCCTGCTGCCTCTGGAGCGAATGTTGATGGTGGAATTAATGAAGAGGAAGCATCGCGCCTATGCGTTTAGTGACGAAGAGCGTGGCAGGCTGCATGTGGACAAGATACCTATGATCCACATCCACACCGTGCCACACGAGCCTTGGAACATGAGAGGGGCACGATATCCCAATCCTGACGAGGAAAGGAAGGTGGTGGATTACCTCGACGGCAAGATACGTACTCACGTCGCCGACTATTCGAGTGGACCGTATGCGTCCCCGTGGTTCTGCTTCATTAAGCCTAACGGGACGCTGCGGTGGGTGCAGGATTTGCAAAGACTGAATGCGGTGACTGTGCGAGATGCTGGAGGACTGCCGAATGCAGACGCGCTGTCGGAATCCTGTGCTGGAAGACCTACAATTTCTCTTATAGACCTTTACTCACGATACGATCAGTTCCCAGTTTACCCGCCGGATAGGCCGGTGACGACTATGCACACGCCGCGAGGATTAGTCCACATGAACGTGGCCCCACAAGGGTGGACCAACGCAGTAGCAATGGTCCAACGGGCCATGATTCGGGCTATGCAGTCAGTCAGCCCCCATATCACACAGCCATACATTGACGATTTGGCAGTGAAGGGGCCGGCGGTGAAATTGAGCGACGAAGTCTCGCCAGGGATAAGGCGCTTTGTCTGGAAACACATCCAGAACCTCGAAAAGGTCCTGAGCCTGCTCGAAGAGCATAACCTTATGGCGTGCGGGGCCAAGTCCAGACACTGCATGAGGGAAGCGACTATTTTGGGGTTCGTCTGTAGCGAGAAGGGCCGGAGGCCGGATGTGAAGAAGACGGACAAGATTACAAAGTGGTCGGTTCCGTTCCACTCAATAACTGATGTCAGGAGCTTCCTTGGTACGTGTGGATTTTGGAGGACCTTCGTCAAGAACTTTGCCGCTAAGACTGAACATCTGAGGAAGTTAGTTCGCCAGGATCAGGAATGGGTTTGGGGGGAAGAGCAAGAAGAGGTGGTGGCCAGAAAGAAGGAGGAGTTTCGAGAAGGAGGGTTGGTGTTAGGAGCGCCAGATTATGATGCTACAGAAACACGACCCTTCATTGTCGAAACAGATGCGGGGCCAACTGCCTTAGGGGGAGTTCTAATTCAGGCAGACATGGAAGGTAAGGAAAGACTCGTGCGATTTGAGAGCCGGACTCTCTGTATGACGGAGAGGAATTACTCTCAGTTCAAAAGGGAGACCCTTGCTGTCCTCCACTGTCTGCGAATCTTCCGGAACTACATCTTCGGCAGGAGGTTTATTTTGAGAGTGGATCCGACTGCCCTGCCCTACTCTCTAAGGAATTACGTTCCATCGGATCCAACGGTTGCCAGATGGCTGACGTACATCTGGATGTTCAATTTAAAATTGGAACGGATTCCTGGTAGTAAGAATCGGGCGGATGGGCTGAGTCGGATCAACTGGGATAAACAGGAAGGGGAGGCGGTGGAGAATACGCCCCCAGTTGATGGATTTCTAGATCAGGAAGAAGATGTTCGTCTCCACATTAACAAGTGGTCGCCGCGAGTGCCCAACTGTGTAGGCTATCCTATCTGGCAAACGCCAAGTGGGTATGAATGGAGGAATGAGCTAGTCCTTAAGCCCTTTGAGGAAGAAGATCCCTGGGGCGGTACGGATGTTCAGTGGATGATGGAGCTCGCGCTGGCCAGCTCGCATAGCCTGGTGGAGGAAATGAGAACGATTGAGGAAGGACCTGGCCAGGTAGAACGGCATGAGGAAATGATGGGAGGAATGTATCTCCTCGTCAACACGTTATTGCAGGAAGGCCTCGATCAGTCAGGCTCGTTGAACTCGACAGGAAATGTGGACGAAGTGCCCGAGAATCAGGACGACGAGTTCGAGGAGGGGGAGATTAAGAAGGATTTTCGTGTAGAGGAGTACGACGGGATCTACCTAAAGCTGGGGCTTCTTCTGTCATGTGAAATGCGGCTAAGGGATGCAAGCGATAGGGCTCAGAGGATGCTGCAGCGCTATTTAGTGCGAGACGACCACCTTTTCGTAAGAAGAGAGGTGGGAAATCCCAGGAGAGCCGTCTGTGGTAGGAATTGTCAGATCGACGTCATAGCAGCGCTTCACGGTGGCATTGCAGGAGGGCATCGAGGGGTACAAGCTACGTATGCCAAGATAAGTGAGCTGTACTACTGGGATAGAATGATGAACATGGTCAGAAAATTCTGCCGATCTTGCGTACCTTGCCAGGAGAGATCCCGTTTAAGGCAAGGAGAGTCGTTGCATCCAAGGCTAGAACGAGAGGTGGGGGCTGTAGTGCATCTCGACCTACTTTTTATGCCGCTTGGGGATCAAGGCTATAATTATATCTTCGATGCGCGCGATAACCTGTCTGGTTTCGTAGACGGACGTGCTATTCGCACCAAGACCGGGTTAGTCTTAGTAAGCTGTATCGAGGAATATTACCTGCGTTATCCTTTCGTCAAGGAATTCGTAATGGACAGGGGATCAGAGTTTACCTGCCAGGAGGTGCAAGAACTGTTATCAAGGTATGGTGTGGCAACCAACTACACCACGGCCGCGCACCCCCAGGCAAATGCTCCCGTAGAGAGAGGACATAGTACCATTCCGAGTCTCCTGACTAAGTGGACCGAAGGTAGGCCTAATCAATGGCCAAGGTACCTAAGGGCGGCATTCTTTGTCGAGAACATTACAGTAAAAAGATCTACCAAGTATGCACCGGCGACACTGTGGTATGGAAGGCACGCCACCTTCCCTATCGAGATCTTTCTTAAGACATGGAGGCGCCAGGATCTGGAAGTTAACCTGTCATTTGAAAAGTTGCTCGATATTCGGGCGCGACAGATAGGGGCAATAGAAGAAAGGATTCAGGAGGCGTCTGATCAGGTGACGAGAAGCCGTATGGACGATAAGGCTCGATGGGATCAGTCTGCGCGGGTAAGGAAAGTACCCTTGGCAGTTGGGGATGTCGTGCTTCTCTACGATTCATCACTAGAGAAGCAATGGTCTAGGAAGTTCGATAAGAGGTGGTTAGGTCCCTACCGGACCGTACGGGTCGGAGATTTCGGAGCGTACTAGATTGAGGAGTTAAATGGGACTGAGTGGAAGGATTGGGTATCTGGAACGGGACTGAAAAAATTTGTGGCGAGAGAAGAGGTAAGAGAGATGACCTGATTGCCTTTGGAATAGAAGTAATAGGGTGTGTAAGGTTAGGTAGGATGCATGCTGCATGAGTATGGCCTGGTCTGAGCTTGCTTTGATTATCACCTGTTTTGCTTACCCCAATGTGTGCCTGTTGTCTCCTTCGCCTGTTGTGCAGGTCTGACTTTACGAAGACAGCCATGCTAAGAGGAGGGAAGGGGACACGGCCGCCTCAGAGGCCGTTGGGCGCATAAGGAGGATATGAGCGGCATGGGCCTCGCCATCGAGAAAGTACTCCGGTCTACAATGATGGGGACATCGAGCTATTCCTGGACAGTTTCTGGGAGCATGCGAGGCGTATGGGCTGGACCGTGGCTCAGGCGATTGAGAGATTGAGGGGAGCAGGCAGGTTCGAAGAGCCCATTGCCAGGATTCATAGGGAGGCGACGACAAGGCAGGAGGTAGAGATGAGGATGGAGGAGTTGCGACCCTCGCCTATGGAACCAGATGGCAGACCGATCCGCCTGGAGATTGGAAATGCGTCGGACTTCATCCCCGCATTTGAGTGGTTCATGCAGGGGCAGGGCATATCGAGATATGATTGGATGCAGACGCTACCACTCTGGACCAAGAAGGCGGAAATGCCACTGGCTAGCCAAATCAGAGACATGGCCCGGGACTGGGAGAGTTGCAGGGCACATATGAGAGAAGCCTTTCGACGGCCAGAGCCCCCTCAGCCCAGAGTTGAGAGGCGTCAGAGGAGTCAGAGGCAGAGGGACCCTGAGCCCAGGGAGGCGAGACCGTCTCGAGGAGGACGGAAGGCCCTAGCCAGGAGAGAGGAGGAGCCAGAGCAGGAGCCAAAGGCTGAGGATCGAGAGGTGTACCCTGAGTGTGGGCTGGGACCAGTGGAGTTCCATCGTTTTACTGAGGGTGGATTGAGGAGATCGCCAGCACGCACGCAGGAGGAGCCGCCAGCATCTGAGGGGCCCTTGAGGGAATTGGAGACGCATTTGGATATCTCTCAGTGGAGAGCGTCGCCTCAGAGCGAGGAGCATGGAGAGCAGGCAGAGGAGATGCCACAGGAGGAGGTCCAGGGTACTCAGCGAGAGAGAGAGTTGGGCGATGAGGGGAGACGTGCAGGGAAGGAAGTGATAGAGGTTGGAGAGGACACACCCCCACAGACGCCAGCAGTGGGTTTGAGACTTGGGGATGCACCAGGGAGCACCCGGCAGACAGAGGAGAGGTTGCAAAGTGAGGAGGTCCAATTACCTTCATCAGGGAAGGCTCCTTCGCCAGAAAATAGGGCAGAAAGGAGGAGAGAGAGGGCAGCTGTATGGAGAGAAGCCTTGATCCTGATTGACAGGCACCTAGCAGCTCATGCCCTGGAGCACCCAGACCTGGAGGGGCCAGCACCTGCAGAGCCTCGCCAGGAGCCGTGCCATCCCGAGAAGGAGATGGAAGCAGAGATCCCAAAGAGGGTCGACCTCCGCACGAGGAAAAGGGCGTCAGCTGGAGAGACGACTGAAGAAAAGAGGGCGAGAAGAACCAGGCGGATAGATGAGATATGGCAGGAGAGGCAGAGGTTGGAGGCAGCGGGGGAGCTTCCGGAGCAGCAGCAGGAGAGGCAGAGATCGGAGGCAGCAGGAGCACTCCCAGGTCAGCCACCCGGCGCGTCAGCTAGGGCCCCGAAGATCCCTGAGATGTGGAGGGACTTCTGGAAGCAGAGAGGAGAGGAGCTTCCATCGCCAGTTAGAGCTGGGTTTGGGGTGGCCAGGAAGGCGGAAGAGAGGTTGGATCGTAAAATCAAGTTCATAGCCAAGACCACTTTTGACTGGCACTTGTTATTAGAGAGCGATCTGGCAGGGAAAAAGATGAAGGAAGCAAGTCATGGAGTACGCCTGGAGGCTATGGAGATGGAAATCCAGGAACTCAGGGCATTGGTGGCCAGCCAGGCAGCTATCATTGAGAGTCTGAGGCAGCAAACCCAGGGAAAGGTGGACAAGCCAGAGAGCAGCAGGCAGGGAGAGCAGAGGCAGCCCGGACAGGGATTGCCAGGACAGCCATCTGCGGCAGAGCCTCGCCAGGAGCCACCTATGGAAAGAGTTATCCTGGAGTCAGAGGAGGCGAGAGCCCAGAGACAGGCAAAGAGAGAGGCATTCGAGTTAAGAGCCCCTACTGAGCTCGCGACGCTGCCAGTGGCAGCGGCAGACCCAATCGTACCTTTGATGATTGAGGAGGGGCTACCGCCATCTAGCAGTGAGCCGGCTCAGGGGTCAGCAGAGGGATCCATGGACGTACTCCTTGATGCAGTGCATACCATGCAGGAGGAGGCGAGTCTGTTTTCACCCGAGCAGAGGATAGAGGAGCCGCTTGAGAAAGAGATGGGGATTGAGGCGGACGGTGCCATCGAGAGCAGGCTCCAGAGGATGGGCACACCTGAGTATGGACCAGAGGAGATTGAGGAGCAGCCCACGGCAGTGCCAGAAGAGACACTCGAGAGGAGACCTCAAAGGTTGGACACGCCTGAGTACGTCCCAGTGACAGGGGATTTGAGGAGCAGACTGGGATCTTGGGCTACTGGATCTGGGTCTGGGGGACCGTTTCCTGGGACACAGCAGCAGGAGGTTGTTAGTACCGCAGCTCCTCGATCAGAGCAGCAGGAGGTTGTCAGTACCTTGGTAGGATCTCCTTCATCGCCACCTCCTCAGCCCAGGAAGAAGAAGTTCAAGAGGAAGGTAGATCAGCTATGTTTCTACTGCAAGAGGGACGTGCATCATGCTCTGGACTGTCTCGAGTTCCTTGAGGATAAGGCAACAGGGAAGGTCTCAGAGGTAGGGGGTAAGATGTATGATAGACAGGGTAGGATAGTAGAGAAGTCCGCAGATGGACTTTGGGCTAAATTATATAGGCAAAACCAGAAGGAGTTGAGGAGATAGTGTCGGTTTGTCTATGTAAGTGGGCGAGTCTCTTGTGAGGCATCAACTTAGGGTCTGTGTGATACCCTCTTAGACTTAGAGGACTTTTTTTTGTTGATTGCTATTAGTCTAGATCTGAACTCTAGTGTTCCTATTGAGCTAGGGTCTTGAGGTTCAGGGTGATTTAGATGAGGCATGTACATATTTAGGTGGCCTACGCACAGGTTTTGAGAGACAGATCTGACATGTATTCTAGGGGTTGTTGTCAGTATGGGTTGGGTGTGGCTTGAGTGGAATGAGCTATGATTTGGAGACATTTTTGTGTGAGGCTTTTTTATTCCCTGAGTGTATATTATGATGAGGCTTTATTTCAGGGACCATTCATATATATGACGATCACTTGTCACTCTCACATGTGTGGTTGTACTCTGATGTATGATGAGTTTGTGTGGACAACGTGTGAAAAACAATTTTTTTTGCCATAGGTACAGTGAATATGATTGTAAGCAAAACTGTCTACTCCTCGGTATACTTGTGCGACCTGCCCACAGGCAGCTGATAGGGCAGAGTATAAGGGGAGGGAGTGCAGCCTGTTTGTGAAAAGTTGTGAGGATTTTTTTTTATGAGCCCTGGAGGCTCAAAAAGCTTACCATGTTGATTATTGATTGTTTAAGTTGTGATGAGGACCCATAAGATGGTCTCTCAGTGATGTTTTGTTTTATGATGAGAACCCCTTGGATTTTTGGGGAAGGGGATGTTTTATGATATTGTGTGTTATGATGAGACCCCCTCGAGTTTTGAGGAGGGGGAGTTTGGTTTTACGGCGAGACCCCTCGTGATTTTTAGAAGAGGGGATGTTTTTGTTTATGATGAGAGCCCCTTGGATTTTTGGAAAAAGGGAATGGTCAATGGTTGGAAGACTCACCCTCAGAGGTGAGTAAGCTGATTTATGGCATGGCGAGTTGTTTGATGGCTGATACAGTCTGACGAAAAGAGTCACTTTTGTTTGAAATGTTTGAGAAAGTCGCAATGAATGCAGGGCGAGAGATGTCTCAGAGTGGGTGGCTGCTGGCTCTGATCAAGTCAGGGGTCACGGCCTGGTGGACCTAGCGGTGATTTTGTTTGTGAGCGTGCGAAGGATGCCATGCCTATTGTGGAAAGGCTGGTAAATGCCTTCAGACCCCTGCGTGATCGCGCAGTGGGCCAGTGATTTTTTTTGCGACGCCCCCGTCTAACCACTAGTGTTAATTCTGAGACATATTGAAGAAAGGTCAAGCTAACGGAAAAGAAGTTAGTACCTCTGGGGCGTAACCCCATTGGATGGCTGCTAGCCGGCGCAACCTGGCTGCGGGATCGCGGGGTAAGAGTTTAAAGGGGGGTGCCCGCCCCAGTGAAATTACTCCGCGGGATAGTGATGATTGTGAATTTTCAGAAGGAATCCTGATTGAATGCTTATCAGGAGAAAAACCTATCGTTGCATAACCAACGAGGGGTACTACCGTTAAATAACAATGCGGTGGGCCGTAGTCCTAGCCCGATCAACCAGGCTATGGTGGACCAAGGTGGAGACCTAGTCTTTCTGTATTAGACTGCAGAAAGAGTTGAGCGGATATTAAGCATACATATATACTTATGGGTATTTGATTGCATGAGATTTTGAGAAGGAAGGCGAGAGTGCCTTCAAAAGGTCTCGATTAAGGCCCGCGTCCCTAGTTTTTGTCAGGACTAGGGACACCCAACGAGAAACCGAAGGTTGTCTAGGACCGGGGAGAGAACGATTGGGAAGGTCTTTGGAACTTATGCGGTCAGCGTCCTAATTTCTGGGCAGTAAGGGGCCCAGGTTAGAAACCTGGCAGCATATAGTTGTGGAGGCATGGTTTGATGGAGGCCTCTACCCTGTGTTCTTCGGCTAATCGGATTGGCTCCTTTTTCGTCAGCATTTGGAATGTGGATGGATTTATAGCTTTCTGATTTGGCGAAGCGACGGGGACGTCGCTTAATATGGTCCGGTAAGCTGTCGGTGCGAATACCCTTATAAGGGTATCCACCCTGATTTTTGCAAGTGACAGAAAGTAGTTTTGGTTTAAAGTTTAAGAATACCGCGCTAAGGCACGGCTGCGTCTGTGACTTATGTTGACAGGGTGGTAAACCACAATAGCAAGTGCGTGGGCGCGCAGGTTTAAGGCGCGCGTGATTCTTTCCTGTTGTTGATCATAAAGCCGACCCGGACCTCGGTCGTTTGGCTTGGTGATATTATTATTAATTGTTTTATTTTTTATTAAGTAGGAATTAAGGATATTTTCTTTTGATTTGTATATTTGACCGGGTCGAGCGCGCATGCGGAGAACAACCCCGACGACAGCATCGGCAATAACTGCGCGATTTCGTGCGGTGAGCAGGATTTCGTAGGATGGCGCGCGGGGCAATTATGGCATGGTATAAGCAAGCCGGCGCGGGCACTGGGAGCCGCGCAGCCGGTTTATGGGCCCAAAAGCACCGCGCCACACCGCCTTGTATGGTACTTTGTGGGCGCTGGTCTCAGATTTGGGCTTAGCCCTATAGGTTACGACATTGGGCTGAAACTATGAAGGTTTGGGGATCGACGCTGGCAAGCACCAGCGGAGCATCGAGGAAGGAGCCGATGGGGTTGAGGGCCGTGGGGCTATCCCCTTTTGGTTTTGTCGATGGCGGCGTCCGGTCAGTGGTGGTGTTTTCTAAATAATTTTATTCTAGCGTCGTATTTTTTATACCCCGGCGGGCCGTTGACTTGGGCAAGACGCCGGATCTAATGGTCGTCATGGCAGTCAAGGATCTTGAGCGCGTACCCCGTTTGACGACGCCGCATGTTTGGGGTGCTGGTAAAAGTCCTCCCTTACGCCGTGGCTGAAAAACCACGACGCGGTAAGGGTTGAGTTTGTAATTGCACTTGAGGCAAAAGGGCCGGTAATGTTGAATGTATACGCCCTACGCTTCGGGTTCGATGAGGTCGCGGGGGGGTGTGTGTTGTATTCACAGGATTGCTTGAAGGGCGCCTACAACCTGGTTTCGTAACTGCGCCGGAGTTACCCCCTTCGTAGCATAACAGGGAGCCCCGTAGCAGCCACATTCGTGCTCGGGCCACCAATAGGGAAAACTGAAGGAAAACGCACCCACAGGTGGGGGCGCTACCTACCACACGCAGGTGGGCCATGCAGGCCACGGGTCAGCAGGGAGGATATAACTGAGCCTTCTCGGTGGGCCAGTCATTATGCCTCGCCTCCGATCCAGCCAGAGGGCGGAGTAGCCAAGGGTGCGTGTGAATCGGGACGGGAGGCAGCGTGAGGTGCAGGCCAAGTGCATTGCAACGGGCAGTGGAGGCGGGGAAGGCGTTGGTATAAGGGTGAAAGACGAATTCAACCGTCTGTTTTCCCTGGAGTTCCCTTTGAGACAGTCGGTACTTCTCTGAATGCTACCCGGGTTGTCTGTGGGATCGACCATTGCCAACGAACTACGATAGCGGGGAGGGCAGAATGACACAGCGGGGCGACCATGCTAGGGCGGAGACAGCGGGAGAGAGGCTCGGGCGGAGTACTGGGTGGACCGCTGCATCGAGCATCGGAGCGTGCATAGGAAAGCACGACGGGCGCTAGCACAGCGGAGGGGTGGATACAGCGGCGAATGCAGACAGGGGCGGAAGGTGAAGGCAGCAGCGCGGTGAGAACGGAATGAATTTGACCCAGAATCGCGTCTGGGTGCGTTCAGAGGCAAAGGCAAGGAGTGAAGAAACGAGATTTCACTCGATTCTTGATGGAATCGAGTGAAAGAAGAGGGTAGATTAGCATTTTGAGGCCGGGCGAAATCAACTATGTAGTTAGTTTTGGAAGAAAATCAGTAGAAAGGAAGATTAGCAGAAAGATGCCGCGAGGAGATGGCCGGGAGTAGGAAAGGAAGAAGGTGGGAAAACGCATATCAGGTGCGTCTCATAGCGGATTTCGACAGAGTAAAAGTCGAAATTATGGTTTCAGGGCAGGGCGAATTCAATAGGGATGTTAGTTTTGGATGAAAGTTAGAATAGTTTGAGTCAGTAGTTAGGAGGTTTGCGCGGAGCTGCTAAACCAAAGGTTATGGCGGGAAGAAAAAGCTCGGCATCTCACCCAATTCTTCAGGTAATCGGGCAAAGCAAGACACTAGCTCGGGTCTTTTGACCAGCGCGGGGCGGATCGCGGTGGTAAAACTCGGCTTGGGGAAGCCATTCGGACGGAGCGGGATACGAATGTTGCGCCTGGGAGTAAAAAATAGTAAAACGTAATGGCACCTAGCCGGCTTGTAGCGGTAGATTCATTCGATTTTGCTCATTTTCTGCAATGAAACTGACGTGAATAGGTGCGCAGATTGGAAGACCTACTTGTGTACCGGTGCGCTGCTCGTCTATGAATGGAAGTAGTATCTCCCAATCTCCCGCCGCGCGCGACTGGACAGTAGTATATATTTCCATGTTCTTGCGGTATGTTCATTCGAAGTCTCGCTCATCGTATTGAGCGAATTAGCGCAGCGGAAGGCCGGAGGGTCGTTGAAAACTTACTGGTGAACCAATGCGTCGCCCAGTCTACTGATAGAAGTAGCTCTTCCCTGACCCCCTGCGCGAGTGGTTGAATCACAGTCTATATGACCACGTTTTAGCGGTAGGTTCATTCTAATTTTTGCTCACCTCACTGAGGGAAGTGGCGTGGGGCCAACTTCAAGGTTAGAGACTTGTCTGTTGGCCTATGTGCTCGCATGGGAGAACAGGAACGAAGAGGAGGTAGGTGAGAAGACGAGTACACTTACCTTGCTAGAGCGCATCCGTGATCACAACGAGCGTGAGTCGGCTACAGGGCTTACGCTGTAGGAGCGCAGACTGAGAAGGGGAAGAAGTCAAACGAATTTGGGTTACTTACCTGGTCGGAGCGCGTCTATGTTGTGAGGGCATGCGCCTGCCACGAGATAAGGTGCTAATCTGCAGGGAAAAATAGGGGAGGGGCGGTCTTACGACCCAGCGAACGGACTGAGCAGGTGCGGCAGGCCGTATGAGGCGGGACGA